CGGCCTCCACTCCGTTGGAGAGAGACTCCCCCTTAGCTCCTAGAGCAGGTTTGCAGGAACGGACCCTGCACAGCCTCTGCATCTTTTCTCCCCACAGATCACTGATGTCTGAGAGGCCAGCAGAGGGCGCATGCTTTAGCAATGACCCTGCGTGTAGGAAGGGACTCGCACCTCCACGTGGAAGCCAAAAGATGTCCCCCCAAGAGTCTCACCTCGTTTTCTGTTTGCTCTAAGCGGTCTCCCCTTCCCCCGCCACACCTTGCTGAACCCCAACACTCCTGGGAAGAGGATCTCCCTCTATGGGTGCCTTTTCATGCTGTCCCTTCCTGTATCAGGCCCAGGATTTCTGCTTCAGAAAACAAGCAGCACTGTCTGCTCCTGGGAAGTTCTTGCTCTCCTCTTGCTTTAATCGTTCTTGCTGCTGTAAGTAATCATACTGTCCCGGGAAATTGTGGGGCTCTCTCCCAACCTTCCCCTTCTCCCCACTTCTTCAGCTTCTCCATGCTTTGTCCCAAATATCTAGGTTCCAGATCCCGAGCTTCAGAGCAGCCTTCTGGGCTTGAAGGTCAACCCAGGGGCTGAGGAGTCTGAGTATCTTCGTGGGCTGCAAGGTAGCAATTACTGGGGTGAGAATGGCCAGAGAACACTTTGGAGCTCTGTGCACACAGCAGATGTGTAGTAAGTATGAAATGGCCCATTGAGAAGCTGGGCTTAGGGAGGTGAGGGAGGGTAGAGGGGAAGGAATGAGGCTGGACTGGTCTGATGTGTCTGCTCCCCATTCTCTTCCCTTCCCCTCTGGGCCACCTGGAGAGAATGTGCTCTAAGACAGGCCCTGAGCCTGGAGTCCTCCCTAAGCTGAGGGGGGTGTCTTCCCCTCCATCCACCTCTACCCAGCTCAGCTCAGGACACCCACCCGCAAGAGCCCAGCCACTGTGCCCCACCCCACCAACCATAAACACCCTCTTCAGCCAGGGCTCCCAGATCTCTGACCCATCACCTTGCACACCAGCCTGAATGCCCCCATTTTGGCAGATCTTAGAGGACCTCTTGAAGCTGCCTGAGCTCCCCCAGTCAACCTAGTAGCCAGGGTCCCTCCTGAGGCAAGGGGACGGCCCTGACTTCCCCTCTTGCCAAGGCAGGAGGGAGGTTTGGAAGTTGGACCAAAGAGGAACCAATCCTATGCTTGGGTTGACAAACACACACCCTGATGGGAAGGTTTTTATTCCCTTTCTGTTACTGATTTTATTTGTTAGAAAGTGAATTAACTCATAATCATAGTAGTGTAAATATATGACAGGGACCATAAAGGCCTTTCCTAACCTCCCTCCCTATCTAAACAAAATTCCCTGTTATTCTTGATCACAAGACCCTGTTTCTTTCCTTTGAGGGTTCATCACACTCTGGAATTATTTGAACATTTGTTCTCTTGCTTATTATCTATATTCCTCTAGGAAAAAACTTTTATTTGAATGAGAGAAAGAATGAATGATGAATAAATATATAATATGGGAATAAATCTACTGGTGGGATAAAAATTTCCTAATAAGATGATCCATACCTGAAAGTATCATGTGCTGACCTACAATCACAGTAATATCCTTTGTCAGTATGCATAATACCTCTACTTCTACATCTCTCTTCATGGGCTCTTTCACCCTATTTTATACCACACATGAAAGTTACTTAGCAATTCTTCAGCTCTGTGTTAAGCACAGTGTAGAGAATTCATAAAAATATGCAGGGCACAGTCTCCCCACTCCAGAAGCTTACACTTGAGTGAGGGAGAAAGAGAAGACACAGGGTAACTACAAATGAAGACAGTGTGCGGAGAGACAGCCATGGTAAGAGTGACACAAAGGAGTAGAGGAGATCAAAGAAAATAAATTTCTTCAGAGGCAGATAATCCAGGAAGGCATAGGCAGAGATAACATTTAAAGTGGACCTTGACATTTATGTAGGATTTTAGCAGTCAGAGATTGGGAGGACAGAGTTCCAAGGAAAGATATAGCTACTGGGAAGGAGTTCTTGACTTTGGGCATCATTTGATATTAAACTTCTGTTCATCATGAGAGAGTGAAATGCAAGGACCAGTGAAATTTAAAATAAAACTGCAGAAGCTGGACACTTTGAATACAGAAGACGGGAGCCAGGACCTGGGTCCCAGGTCAGGGTCCACTTATCCCCACTTCTCTTGCACTCGATCTTCTTGAAGGGGTAATGGTTCAAATGGGACAGGATACCCATTATGCCTCCATCTAAATATCTCTCATCACCTCTTTCCGCCCACTGAGTTCTTTAATAAGAATGAAAGGATTTCTTAACTCCTTACCCAGAGCATCAGAAAGGGCAGAAAAGCATATACTACACAAATTAAGTTAGGTAATTTGCATACCTGGGGAAAGAGAGAAACCCCTCTTCCTTCCATCTCCATACTCAATTTTCCTAGATCTTTTGATACTTTGTGTCAATAATTATCTGTATTTTCTCCTTCTCTGGACAAGAGATGCTCTGAAATGTCACATATAAACTAAAGTTTGTTCTAAAAAATCCTCCTAAAATAGTCTCCCAAGCACTGGCATTGGAAGGTGGAGGAGGGGTTCCTGGGCTGTGTCTGCCTTCAAGTCACCTACAGGTCATCCTGCCTCCAGCTTCCAGGAGCTTTGCTTCAGGTTTTCTAAAGAAGTAACAGAGACATTCAACTCCTCTTACCATCCTTGCTTCTGTCAGTGGTCATTGCATTTTTATGAAATTAGTTCCACAAATTACCAGTTTCTCACAATCTCCACTCTAGATTCTTTAATAAGTATAATTTTTAATTCTCCTCTTTCTGGGGTGGCTCAAATACAGAGTCCCACTTAGAAGGGAAGAAGTAAATAAAATGGCTTCTCTTAGTACCTTCCATGAGGGCGTTCTAGGAGAGGGGAAGTGGTTATGTGGGTGGTGTACATATAACTGCAGCTGTGTATTAGGTTAGAGGGTAGAAAACAGGAGGGGATTTCCTTGCAGCTGCTGTTTCTCTTTCTCTGCAAACCTCTTCTGATCACAGCAGATGTATAGGGCTCCACAGCAGCCCAGCATCTTAGCCATGAACTTCCCAGAAGGAAACTCATTAAGGTTTCCTTGAGAGGTGCTGAAAAATAAATACCTGGGTTTGGTACAAACACACCAAGCATGGCCAGGGGTGGAAGGCATCTGGTTCCTTAGTGCTGACTGAACTCCTTCAGGATTTGTCTACACGCACATGCATACACACATGCATACACACACACACACACACACACCATACCCAGTAAGTCTAAAAAATATGCCCATGTTTGTAGACATACCGAGAGAAAAATACCTCACTCCTTGATGCATATTTCCACTCAAATTCAAACACATATAGCCATATAGTAGACACACACACATGACTTTCAATGAGGTTCTATGACACAAGATAAATACATGGAGAGAGGAAGGACCTGTAAACCTAAAACTCTATTTGAGTCCTATGTCTAATATAATGTCCTAAATCCACAGATTTAGAATTGATAGATTTCAGTGCTCTAATAAGATTGTGTTTTTTCTTCTGTCATTCATCATCCCCATGCCTCACCACCTTACATACACCACACATCCATCCCAGCCTCTCATTTAAGAAGTTGACTAGAGGATTCTTAGGATAACAAAGATTTTGAGAGTTCATTGTGTACATTTCCCTGTTTCTGTGCAGAAGCCCATCTGAGACATTCCACACCCAAGTGAGACAGCCATGCGCTCGGCCAGAGAGCCTGAGCCCTCCCATCTCCCCTGGTCACGCTCTAATCTCAGAAAATTCTTCCTCATGTTCAATCTCCATCTGTTTCCCTTTAATACTGGCCTCTATTTATCACCCATTTTTATAGGGGATGAGGCACACAAACCCTCGAAAGCCTAAGAAAATTCTTGCATGCCCACCTGGTAACATCGTTCTAGTGCCTATCAGTCCAGGTCTCTGGAGTTATAGGTCTCATATAGTTTGTTATTAACCCATTAAAAATCATCAAAAGATCTCTTAAAAAGCATTAATTTGGTCCCTACCAGGGTGTAACCCCTTATGTAGACATCTGGTCTCTCCTGAAGCATTTGAAAGATGAAAGTATCCTAATTTCCAGGACAGATAGTTAAGAACTATTTCATCCCCCAACCCCCAGAGCCTCCTCAATTAGTGTCATCACTTTATCACTCATTTGATTAAGGGACAGTATAGCCCTGAGGCGGGGCATGACTAATATGACCTCCCCAGTCCCTTTCAGGCTATCATATGAAGTAGGGGTAACAGAATTTGCAGCAGTCCCCACCCCCCAATGCTTGCACCATGGGAGGCCCTGAGGATCAGGCAGACTTGAGCGAGGGCACCGCAGGCTTTTTCCCACAGTGGGCAGAGTGCTAAACCCTGCCATAGTGACTGGTGAGGGAGGCCTGGGGACAGGAGGGCAGTCAGACCCCACACTTCACCCTCTTCCCCAAATGCAACTTCCCAGCCTAAGCCCCTCCTCTTATGCTCCCAATTCCAAAGTTTCCACACCTTCTGTGGTGCTCATCTGAGGCCAGACACCTATCCTCAATCATCTCAGGCCCGTGCTTCTCAAACCTGAAAGAGCATACAAATCCCTTGGGAGCCTGTTAAAAATGCAGATTCTGATTCAGCACATCTGCACTGGGGCCTGAGATTCTGTATTTCTAAGAAGCTCCCATGTGACATCCTCGCTGCTGGTCCATGGACCACACTTTGAAGAGCAGGACCTACATGACTGTAGCAGTTGCTACAACTGTCTCCCAGGAAGAGTCTATCTGTCTGAGAATCATATCTCATCCCTTCCTGATTCAGGAATCTCACTCCATGGTACAGTACACAATACAAACCTCGCTCATAAATTCCCTTCAAATGTGAAAACACACATCCCTCACAAGAGTCCCATTCTTTCATGAATCTACAGTTGTATCTCAACACCAGAAAAACAATCCGATTAAAAGATAGGCAGAGACCTGAATATTTATCTACAGAAGACATACAGATGGCCAAGAGACACATGAAAAAATGTTTAACATCACTAATCATCAGGGAAATACAAATTAAAACTGCAATCAGATATCACTTTATACCTGTCAGGATGGCTAAAATCAAAAAGACATGAAATAGAAGTGTTGGCGAAGATACGGAGAAAAAGGAATCCTCATGCACTGTTGGTGGGAATGTCAACCGCGCATGCATTGTGAAAAACAGTATGGCGATTCCTCAAAAAACTTAAAACAGGACAACCATATGATCCAGTAATTCTGCTACTGTGTATTTTCTTAGGTAATCTCTACAGCCAATGTGGGACTCAAACTCACCAGCCTGATATCAAGAGTCATGCTCTACTGACTGAGCCAGCTAGGCACCTCCTTAACTAGTGGATATTTAACCAAAGAAAAGGAAAATACTTTTTCAATTTTCTTTTAATACTGATTTTGTAAAAGCCAGCGAGCAGCTATAGACACAATTGAAAAGTAGAACGTAAAAAAAAAAGGAAAAAGAGCAAAAAGACACATCCTTCACCATACCTTAAATACAGAGCTCTATTAGTGTTCCCCCAAAAATATCTCAAAGGAGACCTAGATTTCCATACACTCAAGAGTACTCCCCATTATTGTGTAGGGGAACCAGACTGCATTCAGGTGTGATGATGTCAAACCAAATATATACAGGCACTGCTGAGTTCAAGGTCTACAGTTTGGGCCCTTAAGCGGGGTTAAGGGCCCAGGCTGTGCCAGAGCCCATACCCGAAGTAGAGAGCAAACCCAATAAGCATCCAGACACCAAATTGGGCCCATGTGGCAGCTGTCATCTGCATCATAAGGTAAACATTCACAAAGATGCTCAGGAGTGGGAGGAGAGGCACAGCAGGGACCTTAAAGGGAAGGGGAGTGGAGCTCTGTGGCTGCCTCCAGATGACCCCAGTGATCCCAGTGATGAGCACCAGGAGCAGCACAACCACTGTGATCGGCGCTGGGTCTCCAGAGAGCAGACCTGGCCACTGGGCCAGCACCAGGCAGAGAAGAGTCAGCAGCAGAACAAGCAGTGAGGAGCAAACAACGACAACCCGGCCAGAGAGCGGAGTGGGGGTGGGGCTGCCTGGAAAGAATAGTCCCTGTAGAGTCAGCTTCTCTGCTGCAGATCCATCCTCCTCCTGCACCTGCGCCTCATTTCCCCCATTCTTCTCCTGCACCTGTGCTTCGTTTTCTTCATTCGTCCACTCAGGCTGATACCTGACGATGAGAACACAAAAAGCTACCAGGGAATAAGATGTCAGCGTCACAATAGACCTGAGGTCCAAGAGATCAGCGAATCCAAAAAATAATAGCATGACTGAAACAATACAAATGAATTCAAAGAACAAAATGCAGGTGTGTATGCAGGCACATTTCTTGGCAAGCACAGGGAACAGGACGCCATCCAGTGCCATCATGTCTATCACCCACCGTATGGGGAGGAGAAAGCTCTGATAGATGCTGACAAAAATACAACAGAAAGTTGCAAAAGCTACAACATAATAGGCAGGGGCCCAGCCAATATGGAGAAATACCTCAGGCAAGGTAGTAAGCTGGTAGTAAGGCACCATGAGTGTAACTGCCACAGAGACACCAAAATATACCAAAAAGCAGATGAGCAGTGAAATCACAATGCTCTTGGGGATGGAACGCTTGGGAGTCTGGGTTTCCTCAACTCTGGTAACAATACTGTCGAAGCCTATAAAAGCATAGAAACAGGTAGCTACTCCACGGAGAATCCCCTCAAAGCCAAAAGGCATGAATCCACCAGAGCCCAGAGGGCCCAAACTAAAGGTGTCATTGACTTCAGCCTGCATGTAGTCCTCTTCTGTGAGGTTCCAGTTGTGCAGGTCCCCCTTCATGAAGCCAGAGATGATGACAAAACTGACAACCAAAAATTTTACCAATGTAAACAGTTTGAAAACTCTGAAGAACCCATGATAAAACAGACTTGGAATTTCTATGAGCCAAAACAGAAGGTTCATAGCCAAGTAGCCTAGACAGTCTATGAAGACTTGGGGAACATGCTGTGAGATTCTCTCATGCAGGGTGGCATAGAACCAGTTCCCAATCAGGTTGTCAAAAGTTAAGATCCAGGCCTTCATCACAATAACTGCATCAGCAACAAGGGAGAGGATAAGGTTCCAGCCAGTGATGAAAGCCCAGAGTTCACCCATAGTGACATAGGTGTAGAGATACGCAGAGCCAGAATGGGGAAGCCAGGCACCAAACTCTGCATAGCACAGCCCAGCCAACAACGATGTTAGGCCCGCCACCAAAATGCTGATCACAATGGATGGTCCTGCTTGATTACTGGCCACCTCAGTAGCCAGGACAAACACACTAACACCCACTGTGTGGCCCACACCAAGGGCCACTAAGTCCAGAGTGCTCAGTTTTATGCCAGATTTAAACTCATTCACTTTTTTCTCCAGCGGACGTCTGCGTACCAGCTTTCGACCAAATCTGCAAAGTGCCTGATGTAGCATTCTAGCTGGAACTGAGAAGATTCTAAGGATCAGAGAGCTGTAGCAAGCCCAGGGAGCCAAGAGTGTTGGATCTGGTTCAGTGAGGCTGAGTTAAGCCAGGTTGGGTTGGGGCTGCCGAGGTCCAATGCTCAGGCTTCAGAGCTGCTGCTTCATTTTTCATCTGGTAAATGCTATCCTTCCAGAATGCCTAGAGAAAAAATAAATATTTACTGAACAATGTGTTCAACCAACCAACCAAAACTCAAAAGTCACATTAACTTGTTGCAGCCAAAGTGTCATAGAAACTGACACCAAAAGACACCATAGAAAAATCAATCCTGCTTCCCCCCCCCCCAAAAAAAGGGTACCAAATACCTCCCAACATTCAATTTTTTCTTTTAATTTTATTTTTCAGTAGGCTCAATGCCCAGCAAGGAGCCCAACACGGGGCCCTAACTCACAACCCTAATATGAAGACCTGAGCCGATATCAAGAGTTGACTCTCAACTGACTGAGCCACCCAGGCACCCCAACATTCCCTTTTTTCCATACAACGTGACATAATCCCTTTTGTATTCATAAGTCATATAGCTTCATGTACCAATTAGATGGTTAGACACAACATGATATGAATGTATTGTGCAAGAATTCACAGGTAGGATGTGTGTGCAGTGCTTGACCGTGAGTTTTGACACATTCATTCATGGACTAGAGGGCTTCGTTGCAATTAGAGACCCATTTTTTAATATATCATCAGAGTTTAAAATACAAATATTGGTCTCTCAGTCTTGAAACTCTTAGCCCCCAAATCTGCTACCCAAGGTCAGATGGCAATTTGGTCCCCTTTTTCCTCAGTCTGCATCATCCATTCAGCTGTGCAGATAACCAAGAATGTACAGTCCACCCCTTCCCTTTCCCCACCTAGGCCCACAGGTGCGCTGTGAACAGAGAGGAGGGAGAAAGGGGCAGGACCTTCATAACCACCTGCAAGAAGGAGAGGACCAGGCTGTCTGGGAAGGAAACACTAGAGAAATGGGGGCAGCGGCCAACCCAGGGTCCATGACTGAGAAGGGAGAGGAGCCAGAAAAGCTATTTTGTGAATTTTGACATTCAGTACACCTCACCCAAAGCAACCAGGTAAAAATTCACTAACTTTTTTTATGAAAGTGTGATGGGTATGAAGAGAAAGTGTGATGGGTAGGGAGAAAAGAAATGAGTCACCTAGATCAGTAGTTCACAACCAAGACAATTCCTTCTGTCCCCTCCCTCTCTGGGTTCCAGGAGAGGAGGTGAGCGCACTTCTGCAGACAGTCTCCTCACTGGCCACACTGTGCTCTCTACACACCTTGAGCCATCTGGGACGTCAGCTGCCAGGGCCTGGAGAATCTGCCCTGCTCTGTGAGCCTGTATTAAAACACTCACTTGTGACCCCCCCTATGAATTTTTCACAAGGAGTTATTTTTAACTCAAACTGCTGCTGAATGTTTTCTTAATGAAAGAATCCTGCATGCAGTTCCATCTTCCCCCTTCTCCCTGCTGCTATTCAAATGGCTCCCTCCACAAGGGGAACAAGGCTTTGGATGAACAATTCACAGTAATGCCCAGAAATGAGAAGTGGACAACAGAGAGAACAAAGTCATGCAGCCCCCACTCTCCTTCCTACTCAGCCTTTGGTTTTGAGAAAATTTTAGGAAATGCTGTCAGAGGTTTTTAAAGACAGAAAGATCAAGTCAAAATTGGAAAGTCTACTCTATAGATGATCAAAAGGAACCATTGGGTTATGGGCCAGACCTTCTGTCTATAAATCCATCTAGATTCCTTATTTGCCACTCACCAGTTCCAATGTTACGATTTACCAACAAGCACACAAGATAAGGAGGGTGAATTCTTAACTTATGGAATCTTTCTACGCTATTTGAGGTGTCCCCGACCCATGACCAGGCTTCAAACCCTTCCGTGGTTCCACACTGCCCTTCCTTCATAGACCTTCCTTCCTTCCTTCATAATCTGACCTGTGCTTATTCCTCCAGCCTCATCCCCTGCCCAGTTCCTGCTCCAGCTGAGAAATTCAACATTCACCCTGTTCCCCTGCCTCTACTGCCCCCTTGGCCCCTTCACTTAGCTACCCCCACTTCTCATTCAGTTCCCAGCTCCGCAGTTGCTTTCCCAGGAAGCCTCCCCTGACCCTTATGTTGCCCTTCCCATGTGCTCTCCTAGCACCCGGCTTCCGCCATGTGCCACTGATCCTAATGTATCCAAATTCCAGGTCAGCTGCCTGTCTCCTCCATTAGCCTGTGAGTTAGGTGCTCAATAAATATTTGTTGAACAAATGACCATGCTGAGAAGAGAAACCTGAAAGAGGCCATAATCCAGAATTCCTATCTACTGGTCATGGAGATAGATAGATACTTTGTAGCCAAGCAACCTTTATAAACCTGGCTCAGGTAAAGGCATACGTGGCATTACCTTCCTTGTGGAAGGCGAGCAAAATGGATAGTGGGAAGGGGAAACCAACTGTGATAAAACCTTGACCATACATCATTCATGGCAGGTAAAAACCACACATAAGTGATAAGAATTGTTTGCCTTTGAGGACACTTGTTTAAAAATACAGGCAATGAACCACCCACGCCCAGTTCGAGAATCCCTACTTTTTTGAAGGCATCGTGCTCAAGCCCTATAATCCAGGTGGGATGTCCTAAGGCGGAGGTTCTCACTTCAGGGGACAGAGGGAGGCATAATGAAGACACCTGGGGACATTTTCAAACTTCAGATCCTCTCCCTCTGGAGATTCTTGTCCACTAGCCCTGTACTTCCCATGATTGTTCTAAACCATCCTAACTGACAAGAAATTGTCCTCAAGTTCAAGGGGAAGAGAATCTAAAAGCTTCCTTCACAGGAAGACAGTACAGTTTACTAGTTAGGAGTAAGGCTCTGCAGGTAGACTGTTCAGGTTCAAATCGCACCTCAACCTCCCACCTGGTGACTCTGGACAAATTAGTTCACCTCTTGGGGCTTTAGTTGTCACAACAGTCAAATGGGAGTAAAAGTAGATACCTCACAGGGCAGCTATGAGGAGTAAGGGAAATGATGTCTGTACAGCACTTAGCTCAAAGCGTAGCAAACAATATGGATTTAATATTATCTACCTAGTACTTAATATTGAAATCACTGAAAATCAATCAGTCTTTATAAATGTGCAGGCTCAAAATCATCCATTAAAACTTGAGCTTGTTAGCCAACTCTCATGAGACAATGAAAACAGTTTTATTCCATATGATTCACCTTGAAATGCTAAGGACTCTAATTAGACACTCTCATCCATGCTGGTGCTAACACATGAGGGGGTCCTAGGCTTACTGTGTTAGACCAGGCATCGAGAAATGCAAGGCTCAATATAATAATAATAATTATTATTATTATTATTATTATTATCATTATTATTATTATTATCTTTGTCTACAGATGCCCCATCTGGAACAGGCAGTGCTGGGTACTCTAGAGATAAGATCAATGAACACTATGTCAGCAATTCTGGATGTGAGCCTTGGCCCTTCCTTGTGACTACATGAACTTGGGTAATTTGCTTAATCTCTCTAAGCCTCAGTCTCTTCTTCCACTGGGAACCTTACTTGACCTCCCTCACTGGGTCAACACGAGAATTCAATGAGAAGAGACAAACTATCACACACTGCTGGTGGGAGCGTCACTGGGGACCACCCTGAAGCGCAATCTTTGTGGAATTAAGAATGCACACACAGGGGCGCCTGGGTGGCTCAGTCGTTAGGCATCTGCCTTCGGCTCGGGTCATGATCCCGGGGTCCTGGGATCGAGCCCCGCATCGGGCTCCCTGCTCCGCGGGAAGCCTGCTTCTCCCTCTACCATTCCCCCTGCTTGTGTTCCCTTTCTCACTGTGTCTCTCTCTCTGTCAAATAAAGAAATAAGAAAAAAAAAAAAAAAAAGAATGCACACACAATTGGGCACTGTAGTTGTTGAATGGGTGAATGTATCGAAAACCAATGTAGAACATGGACTGGAAGAACATTTGTTAAATATACTGAAGTAAGTGCCTCCAGTGAGGAGGGGAAATGAGAATAGAGATAAGGATGAAAGGGGAAAATAAAATGCATTGAAAAGGGGCCTGGGAGGTGAACCATGAGAGACTATGGACTCTGAGAAACAAACTGAGGGTTCTGGGGGGGGGGGATGGGTTAGCCTGGTGATGGGTATTAAAGAGGGCACGTTCTGCATGGAGCACTGGGTATTATAGGCAAACAATGAATCATGGAACACTACATCAAAAACTAATGATGTAATGTATGGTGATTAACATAACGTGATAAAAAAAAAAAAAAAGAAAGAAAAAGAAAAGGGGCCTGACAGAAAGCAATGGGGCAAACACACCATGACTGAGGGAGGGACTGACTCCACTCTGTGCACTGCAGGTTCAACACAGGATTGCAGGAGATAATGTTGTGAGAGCACCTGGTACAGAGCCTGATAAATGACAAGGTCTCAGTAGATTTAAGTTGAAGGGGAACCGGAAACCTGTAATCACCAGGATATGGAGAATACAAAGAAAGAACCTACTAGTTCCCTCTGAACCCATTTCCCTTTTCCCAATTCTTCTCCAGCCCCTTCAACTTTCCTGGAGGCTCCTGCAGTTGGCACTAAGGATGCTTCTGCCACGTTTCTCTCTCTGGGGAACCACCCCAGCAACCACCTCTCAACAAAGACACAACAGTGGTTCTTCATATTTGTTGAGTCACAGACCCACCTGAGGTTGGTCACCTCAAAAAAAAAATGTCATACACTCTTCTGAAGTCCATCTATGGACGCTGAGCAGGAATTCCAGAGGAGGACCATCTGAACGGCAGTGTGGGATAAGGGTTGCATGATAATTTCTGTTTTCCTCAACTGTGTTGTGCAGGGTGGTCCTTGTGCTCTTTCCACTTTTACCGAAGATGAGGGACAGTGGGCCTACAGACAAAGTAAGAAAATACCAGAGATGCAACCCAAAAACAAAACATCTGGGAATTAAATAATCATGTTTTATGACTCCACAGGAGCAGGCAGAACAAACAAATGAACATCAACCAAACATATAGAAGAGAAAGCAAATCCATGATTGGGAATCCTGAGAGAGCTTACCAGAAATCCAGCCTATAACAAAAAAGAGAACATTGTCCTCAAACACCATGTCCCGAAATGCCCTTCTTCTGTGCAATAATCTGCAATTATTCCAATGGTTTATATTCAGCAGACTCTCTGACCCAGCTGTCAAAGCCCCGCCCTAATTCTCCCCTACCCTCAGATACAACACCTCCTTCCCAACTCAGCTCTTCATATCCTGACTTACCCTTTCTGGGATGAGTCTTTGGCCTGGGTAAGTTACCTGTCCTGCCAGGGATGCCCTCCTCACTCCTGTGCAGTCTTGACCCTCTAGCTCTTCTCAGCCCTATTCTACAACCTTTCCCCCCGCCGCATCTAGGAAGCCTTTCCTAAGCCATCCTGACTGATCCCCATCTCCAACCTTCCTCCCCTTCCCACCAGCATTCACAGCCTGTCCTGATGGTCAGCTGAAACTAATTTTCCCTTTCTATCTGGTGGTGTCTTGGGTGTGTCACTTAAATTCCTTTATAGTCTAAAAGCTTCTGGAAGGCTGGGCCAGGATCTATATGCCTCCTCATTCTGGATTCCACACTTCCTTTTTTTTTTTTTAATATTTTATTTATTTATTCGCCAGAGGGAGAGAGAGAGCACGCACACAAGCAGGGGGGAGCGGCAGGCAGAGGGAGAAGCAGGCTCCCCACTGAGCAAGGAGCCCGATGTGGGTGGGACTCAATCCCAGGACCCTGGGATCATGACCTGAGCCGAAGGCAGACGCTTAACCGAGACTGAGCCACCCAGGCGTCCCTGGATTCCACACTTCCATCTCCAACCCTCACTACACAGGACAAGGATCTGCTCATAATTGTAGCAAGCAACCAAAAGAGGCATTTAGGACAGAGAAAATGAATATATAGCTGTATTGATTAGCTACTATATCTTGAGATTCCTAGAAGAAGGGTTTTTTTGTTTTGCTTTTTGGAATGAGAATGAACTATTGGGACTTCATCAAGTTAAAAAGTTTCTGCACAGCAAAGGAAACAATCAACAAAACTAAAAGACATAGGTCGCCTGGGTGGCTTAGTTGGTTAAGTGGCTGCCTTCCGCTCTGGTCATGATTTCAACATCCTGGGATCAAGTCCTGCATCAGTCTCCCTGCTCAGTGGAGAGTCTGTTTCTCCCTCTGCCTCTCCCTGCCCAACTTGTGTGCTCCCCCCCCAATCTCTCAAATAAATGAATAAAGACTTAAAAAAAAAACAAAAAAACTAAAAGACAATCTACGGAGGGGCGCCTGGGTGGCTCAGTTGGTTAAACCGCTGCCTTCAGCTCAGGTCATGACTCCAGAGTCCTGGAATCGAGCCCCGCATCGGGCTCCCTGCTCATGCAGGAAGCCTGCTTCTCCCTCTGCCTGCCGCTCCCCCTGCTTGTGCTCTTTCTCTCTCTCTCGTTATCTATCTCTCTGTGTCAACTAAATAAATAAAATCTTTATTAAAAAAATAAATAAATAAAAGACAATCTACGGAATGGGAGAAGATATTTACAAAGGACATATCTGATATCTGGGTTAGTATTGGCTAAAAGACACATGAAATGATGCTCAACATCACTCATCATCAGTGAATTACAAATCAAAACCACGATCAGATACCACCTCACACCTGTCAGAATGGCTAAAATTAACTACACAGAAAACAACCGGTGTTGCCTAGGATGTGGAGAAAGGGGAACCCTCTTGCACTGTCGGTGTGAATGCAAACTGGTGCAACCACTCTGGAGAACAGTATGGAGGTTCCTCAAAAAGTTAACAATAGAACTACCCTTCTATCCAGCAATTGTACTACTAGATATTTACCAAAGGATAAAAAAATACTGATTCGAAGGGGAACATGCACCCTGATGTTTATAGCAGTATTATCAACAATAGCCAAATTATGGAAAGAGTCCAAATGTCCATCAACTGAAAAATGGATTAAGAAGATGTGTGTATATATATACACAATGGAATATTACTCCAACATCAAAAAGAACGGAATCTTGCCATTTGCAACAATGTGGATGGAACTAGAGCGTATTATGCTAAGGGAAATAAGTCAGTCAGAGAAAGACAAATACTGGGGCACTTGGATGGCTCAGTCGTTAAGCGTCTGCCTTCGGCTCAGGTCATGAATCCAGGGTCCCGGGATCGAGCCCCGCATGGGGCTCCCTGCTCCGCGGGGGTCTGCTTCTCCCTCCCTTATACTTATAAGATATAAGTAACCCAAGGAAAGACAAATACTTTATGTGATTTCACTCATATGTGGGATTTAACAAACAAAACAGATGAACATAGGGGAAGGGAAGGAAAAATAAAATAAGATGAAAACAGAGCGGCAAACTGTAAGACTTTTTTTTTTTTTTTAAGATTTTATTTATTTATTTGACAGAGAGAGAGATAGTGAGAGAGGGAACACAAGCAGGGGGAGTGGGAGAGGGAGAAGCAGGCCTCCCGCAGAGCAGGGAGCCCGATGAGGGGCTCGATCCCGGGACCCTGGGATCATGACCTGAGCTGAAGGCAGACGCTTAATGACTGAGCCACCCAGGCGCCCCACCATAAGAGACTCTTAATAGTAGAGAACAAACTGAAGGTTGCTGGAGGGAGGTGGGTGGGGGATGGGCTAAAGGGATGATGGGTTTTAAGGAGGGCTCTTGTGATGAGCCCTGGGTGTTAGATATAAGTGATGAATCACTAAATTCTACACCTGAAACCAATTTTACCATATGTGTTAACTAACTAGAATTTAAATAAGAACTTGAAATAAAAAAAATGATCAGTCTACAAAACAGGTTTCCACAGAACGCTGACTTTCTATAAAACAATTGACCTGTGCTGTTCAAAACTGTCAATGTCAGGAATGGCAGGCTGAGGAACTGTTGTGGATTAAAGGAGAATAAAGAGAAATGACAGAGATGCAATGCAGAGCCCTGGATTGCACCTGGATCAGGGAGAAAAATTTTAGGATAAAAAATAAGGGAATTAGTAAACTTTGAATCAGACCATATTTCATACACACACACACACACACACACACACATACATTGGAGAGAGCAAGTAACTGTGCCAAAATAGTAACAACTGCTCAATCTCATTGAAAGATAAAGGAGTGTTAATACTACTATTCTTAAAACTTTCTGTAGGTTTGATATTTATCAACCTAAAAAGGTAGGAGGAAAACAACAATGTCCCAGTAGTAAAGGTTATGGTTTCTCCTTCCCTAAATGTCCTTTATAAACAAGCTTGCCATCACTTTTGGTTAGAACGAAATTCCACCCAGAATGATCTAGCCCCAAATCAGGAACATTAGATCAGAGGAGTGGGTGGGAAGATAGAACTCCTTTGTCTTTGATTTACAACCAAAACTGTCAGCAAGAAAACTGCCTGGAAAGAAACCACGTTGGCTCATGTTAGTATGGTTATAACAACTCCATATTTTTATTGTCATTTTGTGGGACTACCACAAACTAATACACCAGGGCCCTAGGCCTGAACTCTAAGAGGTGAACAGGTGCAAAGCCTGGAGGCAGAGAAAAATGGTTTCTGGCAAATAGGGGTACCATATATATGTGCAAGACTTAGCGCTACATGGACAGAGGGGTGAAAAAGAATTTGATGAGCCGCAAGTAATGCACAGATGTTATTTCATTAACCTGCATAACAACCCAAGGACATAAGTATTATTCCACTTTACAGACTGAGAGCTTAGACAACTGCCCCAAGCTCATAGCCAGTACAAAGAAAAGCTGGAATTTCAACCTGGTTCTTTGTTTCTTCAAAGACCATGTTCTTTCTCCTGCAGCACCCTATCTCCACAAAGAGTTAAGACTATAGGGCATGGCTAATAAAGGACTATTTGAACCAGTTCTCATATTTGTGCCTAGGTCACTTTCTGCCGATGTCATCCATTTCCTCCCAAATAGACACTGATGGGCCAAAGCTAGAAGTACTGCGATCATTAAATCGGAGAGCTCTATCTAAACTGTTTCCTGCTAGAATCCAAACCTAATCTTGGGCCTAAATGTCTCCAGACCATCTGTTTAGATGCCAAGAAAGATTCCAAAGCATCCCTGTACCTATTCCAATAGTTCTCAGATATGATTTTACATGTAATTGTAATTCCTGCCCACAACTTTAGCCCATTTCCTTTTGCTTGGCTTTTAGTGTAAATACAGCATAAAAGATCTCTAGCACCAAAAAGAAGAATGAAAACCCATGTTCAGTGCATTTAAGGAGTGCTAGACTAAAAAATGAAACCTTGATTCTCACTGTGTAAAAAAAGATGGGGATGGGGAGCAGGCATTTTCTAAAATGGGAGCCCAATGGCAGGAAGATGGTTGCAATCTCCCTGACAATGTGGATGCCTCCAGGTTTGGTCTTCCCAAACCTCAGCCATCATCCAAGGCTTCCAGTATATACTATATACCAAGGCTGCCTGTATATACTATTAGGAAACATCTGTCACAAAGGACAGCCCCAACTGGGACAAAGGGGGGTAGGAAGGCAGATAGATGGTGCCAGCTTAATGAGGATAGTTCAACAAAACTTTTTTTAAAAAAGATTTTTTATGTATTTATTTGACAGAGAGAAAGTGAGAGAGCACAAGCAGGGGGAGGGGGGAGAGGCAGAGGGAGAAGCAGACTCTCCACTGAACAGGGATCTTGAGGTGGGGCTGGATCCTAGGACCCTGAGATCATGACCCGAGCTGAAGGCAGACGCTTAACCAACTGAGCCATCCAGGCACCCCAACAAAACATCTTTTTAAGCCTTCTAATTCCCTTGGCCTTTTGCTCCCTAGACTTGGAATGTTTGCCAGAGAATGGCAATGTCCTCTATATCC